CATTTTAAACTAAAATGTGTTAAATCGTTGTACTTAAGACACTTGGAATAGTGACACAAAGTATTTTAACTTAAATCTTGAGAAATGCATGCTGTGAATTAAATCGTTTCCATTGCATTCCATTCCCAAATAAACATAAAAGCATCATCGGATACGCTGTTTACATCGTTTACGCTTTGATTTGAACGAAAACAATGTTCAGTGGACACTCTCCAAAATGGCGCTAGGGTGACACGGAGACGACGAATTGTTGAATAAAGTCGTTCTTTTTTTATTTTTTTTTTCGTACAAATTCTCGTAGCTTTGTAAAATTACGGTTGAACCCCTGATGTCACATGGATTATTTTACTGATGTCCTTGCTATGTTTCTGGGCCTTTCAAGGACCCTTGCTGTCTATGGGAGGGTCAGAGAACCATCAAAAATATCTTAATTTGTGTTCCGAAGATGAACGGAGGTCTTACAGGTTTGGAACAAACATGAGGGTGAGTAATTAATGACAAAATTTTGGGGTGAACTGCCCCTTTAAGATCACATTAATTTAAGGTCTCTTCTTCACCTGCATCTTCAAAAGTTCCTCCTCTACAATTTTCTTCATCAACTGTCTGTCCTTGATGCTGAGCGACTCTCTCCCCACCTTCTCCAGGTATCTCCTCCGCAGAATGCCTAAAGTCAGTATACTGAAAGGTGGCAGAGTAACAGTAAATTAAACATGCAAATAACGGCACAATTGCAATCTCATTCTGATTGACCGATATAAATCAATGAAAAATGTCACATCACTTAACACTACGCATATTTTGTACAAAGCAAACCGTTACAAAACACAAGCATACTTTCACTTTATAGAGGCTAGTGCATGGACACGAGTGATGTGATGGCACAGACACATTTTTGTGCTGTCTATCTGTCAAACCCCTGCAGCATACTATTGAACTACAGTATTTCCTTCAAGCTCGTTTAGGTAAACTGCGTCACACATCATTGTAGTGTCTCTCGACCACGTTTATTTACGATAGGCTAACGTTACCTGCAAATTAAAAAGCGCACCTTATGCGATCTGACCGTCTTCATGCAACAATCTTACACTCACCACCCTTTACATCCGTTTCTTTTTCCTTCATGTCACTCACTAGCAATTTAGGAGCCGATGTGAGACCTGACATACGTATCACATGTTTTGGAGTTTATGATTCAGCCCGGACTTACTAACAGCGTTCATCTTTGATATGTAACGGTAATGATGCTAACATCCGTTTTGATAGCACTTTCGACACTGCCGTTTCCTATAGTTTACCTGAGGTCCGAACACTTGTGCAGCTCTCTCACAACGAAATTTCGGATTGCGTCTTTTTCTTTGGCCATGGTTTTTTCAACACATTTGCGCCACTTTTTACAAAACAGCGTGCTGTGTGTGCGTACTAAGCGCGCCACCCTACCTTGGCGCGCTTTGCTGTGCACGGCTACGTTACTTTACGTCATCGCGCACAATTTCCGATAGACGTGTTCACGTAATAAAGTTGGTCAGAACGCTGCTTATGTCCGATTATTAAAAACGCCCTAACGTTAGCGTTTTCTTTCATGAATTCACTTGTAAATATGCTCATATGGATTTGGACAAGTCTTATACAGCTACTTTATATTTGAACCACCTTTATTTGACCCTCTAACTCTAACACTTTCTATTCTATTTTATTTTCTTTGTTTGTGTGTGTGTATAATATATATATATATATATATATATATATATATACACACACCTTGCTACGTGTACTGCGTTAAGCTAACCGAGACTTGTCATTTGCACTTATATATTGTTGCTCTTTTGTTAGTTTTTACTGCTTTTATTGTCCTCGTTTGTAAGTCACTTTGGATAAAAGCCTCTGCTAAATGACTAAATGTAAATGTAAATGTTATATGCTCGATTTTTTAAAAGTTATTTACTCTTCTCATATTTACCGTTTTCATCCTTCATCTGGTATGAATTTGTCATTTTGACACTCTGTTATGACCTACTGTATTTTTATGATTAATTCCCTTGTTTTGGAATAGGTTTCCTTTGCTATTTTTGAAGACAATAAAATAACTTGACAAAGACTTTACCAAAAAGCATTTTTATTGAAAATGTTAATGGAATATTCATTCCAGTTGATTAAAATTCCAAGACAATATCTGGACGGCATTACACATATACTAGTTTAATTGGCAGAATTAAGGGGGTGTTTTTTGGTCTAGGACAGTGAGTGCATACATTTATGGCTTACAATGGTGAACAAAACATCATTTTGTGAAGGGGTTCAAACCCTAGCAGTAATGTGATTCAAAGGAGACATCTTTGTCTAGAAATGATCCTGAAATAAAACTTTTTTTTAAAACCGAAGATGTGGCAAGAAGTCTAACCCAAGTCTAACAAGTCAAAATTTTTGTTTTAGAATGTATTGTTGCATCATGTTAGTTAGAAACTATTGTTATCTTTTTCTTTTTAAACTAAAACAATGTTAGTTTTAGAAATATTGTTTAACACATTCATCAACATTTTAAACACCAATCGTGAGGCACAGTGTAAAATGATTTACTTGTTAAGTTTTCTTTTTGTGTTACAAAAAGGATGTTTAAAACTGGACCCCCGCTATCTATGGCTATAACAACAAGCTTTGCACATCTGGTCAGTTGCTCAGAAGATCTGACGGTCCTAGACAACATGACACCTCCACCATGTACCTCTCAAGTCAGCATACAACACAGTTTACCACGAAACACCGAAAGATAAACTTTCACACAGCCCATACAAACAAATCAAACAAAACAAAAAATATACAACTTATTTCACATTGAATCTTGAAAAAGTGAAAATTCAGGACATTAATTTAACTCAATAATAAATTAAATTTAACAAAACAGACAAAACAGAAAAATCAAAACTGTACCACACTGTGGCAACTTCAGTATTGTTTATAAACTAGCCCATAATTACCCCCCACCCCTCCCATTTCAGTGCAGCATTAAACATACCAAAGTTGTCTTTCTTTCCTCAACCAATCTTTCCATTGTTCACATGCATATTGGTAGTACAGTGTCTTTGTACCGTTCTGATTCAGTCTTTGTAGACAGTCTCCTGTC